GGAATTATTCTTCATCGATTTTAGTAAACTTTAGAGTTATGTTGTAGAACATACAACAATATAGAATTTATATTTTTTGTCTCAAAGTTTAAGATTCGAAATAATCTCTGGGGTTGAGGCTAATTAAAAAAATTAAAAAATCCATTACTTTTGAGTGCGTGATTGTTATTATTACACTCTTAAACTTTAAGATAAATAGATAAAAAATATTTATCAGCTTAAAAAGTATTAGGCTAATATTTGTGTATGCTTTACACATTTAAAATTCATGAAAATGAGTAAAGGATAGTTCTGACAGTTTCTTTATATGTTTATACCTCTTATTGTGTCGACACATGCTTATATAATACATTTAAAAAAAATTAATTCTTCGCTGATCTAACAATTTGTTACAAAGTATAAAGTAAAAATGAAATCTCTTTATAAACCTTAATTATACGATAATAATTAATCATCATTATACATTTGCGATTCGTTTTCTAATTTCGCTCATGAAGAGTGAAATTATAAGATAACATTTTGACAGCGATTGTACCGTCTCGGTATGGTAATCGCGACAATCAATAGTCGTTAAAAGAATGGGAAGGGGTCAAACGATTAACAGACGATGGAGCGACAGTAGTTTACTTTAGCGAGACGCTTGGATTACAGACGACTTGTCGTGCTTTAATGCGAAGTCTAATCGCAAACAACGGAGTGTGTAAGATCCAAGCAAACACTCAGCAGAACGTATTAATATGCTTAAAATATTACGTAAAAAGACACGTAACATTTACAATGAAAACATCACTGAATTATATAATAGTTAAAATTTTAATGTTAATTAATTTACAAAATATAAAAAAGTTTCTGCTAAAATTTTGTAAATTAATTAGAATTGAAATTTTTTATGTTAAATCCAATTCTGGAACTCTCAATCTTTTTATTTGTTCAATTTTTGTTGTTCATTAACAATAATTTTTTTTATTTCTGACGTATATTATACTATAAAAGTATTTGACAAATTGATTACAAATATATTATAACTGTCACACGTAAATTATTTAATATCTTTATATTGTATATTTAATTTTAAAGTTTTCTCTTTAATAAACTAAAATAGCTGATTAAATTAATTTATTTTAAACTATTAATTTAATATTAATTTTAAAAAATAAAACTTTCTTAATAGGAAATATATTAATGAAAAAATTTTTTTATTATATTACTTTTTTCTATCTTTCTGCTAAAAATAAAAAAGTTGTAATTTTACTAAATTGAGAAAATAGAATCAGATTGTTGCATTTTTTACAAAATTTTAATGGTTAACAAAAACAATGCTCGCAAATTGGAACTTGAAATATGGCGCGACATTTTAGGTCACCATGCTATCACCTATCATTTGTTTGCATTCATTTGCCAACAATCGAGCATGGAGATAGCATATGATATACGTTCTGTGTACTGAAATGCAATATTATTCGAACGTTTAAAAAGATTATCGGTTGATAATTGAGATAAATATTTCATACTGAGTTATAATTAAAAATTATTTCTTGAGGAACTGTTTGAATATATCTTATGCAATTTGTTAAAGCTGTATAGGTATTTTATTTTTCAAAATGTTTCCTAATTGAATTTAATTTTTTGAAATCATAAATTACAAACTTATTTTTAACAAATTTAATGTTTTGTAATTTTAAAGAAAATATAGAATATGAATAAAGCGATTTATTTAAAGAGGAAGATAATTAAAAGGTTTTAAAGTATTATTTAAATTATAAAATGTCTTATTTATGATTTAATTGTTGATTTAATTGATAATTGAGCAGTAATTTTGAAAAAATTTCTTTAATTATTTGAGTTATTTCTATATCTGTATTGTTATTTCTAGACTGTTAATAGTGCTAATAATAATTTTATATAAAATTACATATGATCCTTAACATTTTAAACATGATGAGAATAAGTATGAAGACTTTATTAATATTAATTATTATAGATATGGTTAACAAAAATATATAACTACATTGTTTATTTCAAAATTGACATACATAATTCCATATAATTGCATGTATATAATTGATTTGGTAGTCATCATGTACATTGATCAAAACAAAGTAAGAAAAGTTTTCAAATATCAATTTAGATCGACAGAAGTCGTTTGGAAGAAGGGGGAAAGTCCACGGCGTTTGGTGGTTGACCACTTTTGACGATCCAAGCTGCTCCGTTTTTACCTTTCTGAATGAGATCTAATATTGCAAGTGCTACATGATCAGTCGTTTGTTTCGGAAGTTTCTCCAAATGAGAAATATCACTACCTAGTGCAACACGAATGGAATCATAGATTTTATCTTGATAGTTTTCTGCCATCGCTGTTATTGTAATGCCCGGGCATAAGATAACAACTCGCACTCCAGTCTTGTTATACATGTTTGCCAGAGATTGACTGAATCCCAGAATAGCGTATTTCGAAGCGCAATACATTGCCATGAAAGGAACTGGGTCCAATGCAGCCACGGATGCAATATTCACGATTAAACCACCTTTGCCGCCTTTATGCTTTCCCATGTAGTCGAACGCCAACATAGACCCACGAATTACTCCCTTGACATTAAGATCGATTGTTTTCTCCCAATAATTATCGTTAAATACACCAGCGTTGTTGATAAGGATATCAAGCCCTTTAAATGTGTCGACGATCTTTTTGAATGTCTTTTCAAAATCATCAGCTTTCGTCACGTCGCAGGCAACGAAGATGGCACATCCTTTCCCAAATTCGTTCTCCAAAGTAGCTACCGCATTCTGGCCATTTGACGTTGGCAAGTCGACCACAGCAACACTTTTGACACCGTTACGAAGCAATATTTCGGCATACTTGTAGCCTAATCCTGTGGCTGCTCCAGTGATCATTACAGTTTTATTCTTTACGTCATACATTATGCTGATCTATAATTAAAATCTTTGATGGAAATTATACTTTAGCGTTTACTGGTATAAAATTCTTTAGCTAATCACAATGAACACTGTCTCTGTACAGGGAGTACACTCTGGTTAAATATTACTTCTTATCGTTTGTTTTTTTATCGTCTATTACCGTGGATGACTATCTCTTTTTAACGTCCATTATCGCTGATGATTAACCACTAAACCTGTTGATGGAAAATAACGTTATTTTATTTATATAGAAATACTTGCTTTGTCATCATAAATTGAGAAAATAAATTATATAATTTTACAATCTTTTTTAAAATTAAATTACATATATACTTTATACACAGAGTGTCTTACTAAAGATATTACAAATGATCTTTTTAAAACTAGGCAAATTATAACATTTTTGTTATCATCGGTTTGGTATTGAAGATAATATCTTACGATAATGTTTGTTTTTTTGTTTACTATTTTATGGAGTCGAAGATTAGCAGGTTACCTTTACTTTTTCAAAAAATTCATCAAATAATAATGATAATAACAATAATAAGCTTTATTAACGTGTCTAAGTATAAGAGCTTTCTGATAAGTGATATTTTAAAAGAATTTAAGATCACATCTTGAAAGATGAGATATAATGCTGTTTAATTAGCCTCGATTTTGAAAAGCAGATTTACAAGAGAGAGAGAGAGAAGTTTACATATAAAATATCTCGTAAACTATTAATTTTTTTGTTTGCACTTTTTTATATTACGCCTATACAGAATAATCAGCTAAATTAATTGATGTAGAAAAAAACACATAATTGTTTATTTAAAAAAAATTTACATTTTATAATATGCAACTAAATTATTTTTATAAACAATAAGAGCAATAAGAATTTTATTAGACGTAATACGTGTGAAAATACAATCAATAGTAAATACGAAATAAAGGTCTATAACGATCGAACTTGGATTTTTAATGCTTAAATAAATTTTCTTTTTTAAATCAGCTATATATTTTTCCGGACGAATGTCGTGTAAAGTGCGCGTGCTACACAAATTGATCACATTCCAATAATTAAACGAAATAATAATTTAGCATAGGTGCAAGAATAGCATCTTTAAAAAGGAGAAGAGAAGAAATAGGAGAAGCCATGGGATGAGAACAGTTATAATTCTGAAGATTGTAGTTGAATTTAACCAATTAGAAGAAAGAAAGCCATTATCAAGTTTAGTAAATTTTATTTTGGTTGTTAAAATATAATCTCAACCTCAAAATCTTTAGTCTAATATTAGGTATTAGATTTATTACATTGAATAATATTTGCTGTACATTTCATTTATAATACGTTGAACATTTCGTAATGGTTGACAAAAGTATAAGCTTGGCGCTCGGCATATGCCGCGCCATTTAACATCGTCATATTATTTTCCGTTTGCATTTACGAACGATCAAAACATATTGGCTGATGCGAATTATTAATATTTTTGTAATTAATGGTCTACAATTGACAAGTATTTATTGAAATGGATTGTCCGTGCATTGAGCTACGATTAAAAATTATTTCTTGAAAAACTTTTTGAATTTATCTTGTTATACAATTTATTAAAGCCATATATAATATATCTTATTTTTAAAATTTATGATTTTCAAATTTCAATTAACCTCATCTATAACGAATTCATTTCGTAATTATAAAAAAATTGTAGAATATATATCACTTGTTAAAACAGTTTTTATTTAAAGAGAAATTTAATTAAAAGATTAAAGGTATGGCTATATATATATAAAATTATATGATGACTTATTTATAACTTAATTGATGATTTAATTGGTTATGGAAAAACAGTAATTTTGCAACAATTTCTCATTTATCATTCATTTTATTTACTTAAGTTATATCTCTATTGTTGTTTCTAAGACGTAAAAAATTGTTAATAATTTAATATAAAAAATTATATGTATATGATCTTTAACATTTAAGGACTGAAGATAAGTATGAAAACTTTAATAATATTAATTATTATAGGTATGATTAATAAAATTATAATATCACATATAGTTTATTTTAAAATGGAAATAATTTTTATTCAATTGCATATACATAATTCATTTGGTAGTCATGTAAATGACCAAAACAAAGTAAGAAAAGTTTTCAAATATCAACTTAGACCGGTAGAAGTCGCTCGGATGATGGGGGAAAGTCCACGACGTTTGGTGGTTGCCCACGCTTGATGACCCAAGTCGTTCCGTTTTTACCCTTCTGAATAAGATCTAACATCGCAAGTGCTACATGATCAGTTGTTTGTTTCGGAATTTTGTCCCAATCAGGAATATCACCATCTAGCGCAACACGAATGGAATCATAGATTTTATCTCGGAAGTTTTCTATCAACGCTGTTGTTGTAACGCCCGGGCATATAATTACAACTCGCACTCCGGTCTTATTATACATATTTGCCAGAGACTGGCTAAATCCCAGAACAGCGTATTTCGAAGCACAATACATTGCCATAACGGGAACTGGGTCCAATGCAGCCACGGATGCAATATTCACGATTAAACCACCTTTGCCGCCTTTATGCTTTCCCATGTAGTCGAACGCTAACATAGAGCCGCGAATTACTCCCTTGACATTGAGATCGATCATTTTCTCCCAATAATTATCGTTAAGCATACCAGCGTTGTTGATAAGGATATCAAGCCCTTTAAATGTGTCGACGATTTTCTTGAATGTTTTTTCAAAATCATCAGCTTTCGTCACGTCGCAGGCAACAAAGATGGCACATCCTTTCCCAAATTCGTTCTCCAAAGTAGCTACCGCATTTTGACCATTTGACGTTGGCAAGTCAACCACAGCAACACTTTTGACACCGTTACGAAGCAATATTTCGGCATACTTGTAGCCTAATCCTGTGGCTGCTCCAGTGATCATTACGGTTTTATTTTTTACGTCATACATTATGCTAATTTCTTGAAGCTTTTGATGAAACGTGTACTTTAATTAACGTCTTTTTTATGTAAAATTCTTTAGTCAGTCGCAATGAACACTGCCTCTGTACAGAGTACTCTTAGTTTAATATTTTATCTTATCGCTCATTATCTTATGAACTATTGTTGATGACGACTGCTGCTTTTTATCGTAAATCACTTATTATCGCTTGTAATTAATCACTAAATCTTTTAGTGCATAGGCAGCCTTTTATTTACAGAAACTCTTGTCTTATGATCTGAAAGATAAATATGTGAGAAGATAAATTATAATTACAGTTCTTTTTAATTCAAAATATATTTACATAGAGTGTTTTACCAAAGGCACGCGCGCGCGTATGTGTGTGTTATAAATTAGTATTTTTTAAACTAAACAGAGTACAATATTTTTATTATGTATTTCTGTTAACCTTCATTTTATATTGAATATAACATCATACGATGATATTTGTTTTTTTTATTACTATTTTGTGGAGTCGCTTCAAAGATTAGCAGGTCACTCAGAACCGATTTCAGCATTTTTGATGCTCTACGCAAGATTTTAAAAAGCATCTTCCTTTATCTCTTATACCTTTTTATTCATGTAATACATAACAATATAACAAAATTTCTAACATGATTAATTCACATAAAATATTTATTGATTTACAACATCTGCCGATGTTTGTATTAATTATATTTATTGACTAATATTTATAGATACTGTTTTATACATATTGAGCCTTATAATTACTTTTATTTTATTGACTAATTTTTTAAAATACAGAACAATTTATTCTGTATTTTTATTCTATATAAATAAACATGAATTTTGTGAAATTTAACATACATAATATAACTCTTACATATTTTATACGCACATATATAAATATTAATTAAACGATACAATTTTTAAACACAATTCGAATTATTTAAATACTATAAAAGGTGCTCCCGCCTCGCGCCTTAATGAGTCACTTATGTATATGGTGGATATCCACCAACTGCGCAAAACGTTTGCGAACATTTGTAAGCATTTTCGAACTGAATAAATTCGAAAGACATTGTGAACAGAAGCTTAATGGACAAAACGCTTTACATGTATGTGTCACACATACGACTAAAAAATCTTGTAACGGTCCCTATTCGATCTCTAGATCTCGGTATTGGCTGCACCAATGTCATTCGGACTGCAATCAAAAGATACCGATGACATTATATATTAAAAGTGTTTTTAGATTTTTGATTGGGCTTTTAATTTCTGAGTAATATTAATATAAAGTTTGTAGATGTCAAGACTCCATATAAAACTAGCGGTAGCGTCACGAATTTGGCAGCGACATGAACATACCATATACACTATAATGTTCACGCGTTAAGCGATTATGTCAAACGGTTATGTATTTATTTTATGCACTTGGCGTCGCGACGCTATCGCGTTGCTTGATTAAAGGAGAAAACACTACATACAAAATATTCACAAATATTCGCAAACATTTGCAAGTGTTTATAAGAAAATGCTTGTTTGTTGGATACCCATCTTTACTATGTTTACCGCCTAAAATGGTTCCTGAGGTCACTTTTGTTTTTCTAAATTAGAATTGTGTAGTTTTTTTTACACTATGTAATTTTTCTAGTTATTCTGTATATAAAATTATTACTGTCAAATTGAAAAATTAATATAATACTAGATATTTTACACTTTATTCTGACATATTTTGACATCAAATATAAAAATATCTTGTAAACTATTAATTCTTTTAATAATTGTACTTTGATACTTTTGTTGAATAATGAGATAAATCAATTCAACCTTATTCTCAAAATCTATAGAGTCTTATTTTGGTGTTTTTTAGTTACAATAAATACATAATATTTGAAGTATATTTTGTTTATGTTGAATAGTTTATAATAGCCGACAAAAACAAACTTCGACGTTCGGCGCATGTGATGCACTATTGGTTATCGTTCGTTTGCATTTATTCACTGATAAGCATGCAAGTAGCAGTGTCCCGTGTACTGAAATACGACTATACTTTATGAACAATTAAAGATTGTCGGTCATTAACTTTTCCGATCAATTCTAAAAACGACATGTATTTATTGAAGTTACTATCTCGAATTGAGGTAGAATTAGTTTTCAAAAATTATTTTTTGAAAAACTTTTAGAATATATCTTGTGCAATTTATTAAAGCTATATATATACATATCTTATTTTTCAAAATGTTTCCCAAATTTCAAACTTATCTTTAACAAATTTAATATTTTGTAATTTTAAGGAAAAAATTTTATAGAATATATTACATTAGATAAAGCGATTTATTATTTAAAGAAAAAGTTAATTAAAAGGTTTTAAAATATCATTAAAATTATTTAATATTTTATTTATAATTTAATAAAAATTTTAAGACTGAAAATAATGAATATGAAGATTTTATTAATATATTGATTATCATAGATATGATTAATAAAATTGTAATATTGTTTATTTGAAAATTGATATAATTTTATATAATTGCATAATTGATTTGTGGTAGCCGTTGTTTAAATTGATGAAAACAAAATAAGACAAGTTCTCAACTGAGGCAGTAAAAGAAGTCGTTCGGAAGAAGAGAAAAAGTTCACGGTGTTTGGAGGATTACTTTCGACGATCAATATCACATGTGCCACATGGTTGGTTATCTGCTTTAAAACTTTTTTTTTCAAAATCCGAGATTTTATTTACACTTATTGCGTTAATGGAATCATAGATTTTATACTTGAAGTTTTTTGTCATCGCTGTTAACATCCGAGCACATGATGACAACTCGCACTTCAGTCTTAGTACACATATTTTCTAAAGGCTGAACAGCGTATTTCGAAGCGCAATACATTGTTATAACAGGAACTGGATTCAATCCAAACAACTGCAGTGAATGCAATATGATCAAATCATTCTTTTGCTGCCATTCTTTGTGCTTCTCCATATGGTCGAACGCCAACAGAGCCGCGAATTACTGCCTTGACATTAAGATCGATCATTTTCTCCCAATAATTAATTATTGTTAAACATACGTTGTTGATAAGGGATGTTACAATCTTTTTTTGTGTATAACTTTTTTTTGGAGGGTGGACAAATGAAAATAACGGGTGGACAAACGTGGACAAACAGTGGACAAACGAATGTAATAATGATATTACCAAGATTCGCATTTACAGATTCCAACTTTACAGAGCTGCTTTGTGAAGTTGGCACCCCTAAATGCGAATATTGGTAAAATCATTATTGCATTCGTTTGTCCACTGTTTGTCCACGTTTGTCCACCCATTATTTTCGTTTGTCCACCCTATGTTTATTATATTTTTCGTAATAGTGTAAAATAATCACTTGGGGGTGTTACAATTTTTTTTTGTGCAGAACTTTTTTTTGGAGGGTGGACCAATGAAAATAACGGTAAACGGATGGACAAACGCGGACAAACAGTGGACAAACGAATGTAATAATAATATTACCAATACTCGCATTTACAGGTTCCAACTTTACAGAGCCATGCTTTGTGAAGTTGACACCTTAAATGCGAATATTTGTAAAATCATTATTGCATTCGTTTGTCCACTGTTTGTCCACGTTTGTCCACCCGTTATTTTCATTTGGCCACCCTCCAAAAAAAAGTTATGCACAAAAAAAGATTGTAACACCCCCAAGTGATTATTTTACACTATTACGAAAAATATAATAAAAATAGGGTGGACAAATGAAAATAATGGGTGGACAATCACGTGCGCGTTGTGGACAAACGATACCCGTACATTATTATGAAAAATTATCACTTGGGGATGTTACAATTTTTTATTGTGTATAACCTTTTTTTGCGAGGTGGACCAAAGAAAATAACGGGTGGACAAACGTGGACAAACAGTGGACAAACGAATGCAATAATGATATTACCAATATTCGCATTTAGGGGTGCCAACTTCACAGAGCGCTACGCGCGCGATTCTTTTTTTTTTGAACGACCATATAATTTTCTCTTACAAAATTTACACCAAAGCATAGTCGATTAAGCTTTAAATTATAATTACATTTCTTTGCGTCTTATTAAATTCGTTATATTCGGAAAATCTTATTGATTTCCGCAATATTTCCGTCTGCCATATTGAATTTAAAAATTTGGAACACGGAATCAAAATCAGCGTTCGCGGTAACCCCCATTTACCTAATTTCGCTGAAATTTTTAAATTTTTATGTATTTCGCAATACTTTTATCCGCCATTTTGGATTTTCCTAATTTTGATCACGGATTCGAAATCAGCGTCCACGTAAGCCCCCTTAATCCAAATTTCGCCGAAATCGGAAAACCTTTAAGATTTTCGCATCTTTTCCGTCCGCCGTATTGGATAAGTCTTTTTTAATTATCATAATTTTTACCATGTTTTTAAAAGAGCGTCCCCGAAAATTCATTGCTACCAAAATTCACCATTTTCGGATTACTTTAACTGCCTCAACGAATAGAGGCTTCAAAAAAGCGTGACACGCCAATTTTAAGATATGATGATAATACAATATATTTTTTATAAAAAAATACGACATAAGGATGAGATATAAAAATAAATGACTATTATGAATATAAACTTAATTGTTACATTTTATTTAATTGATATTTATTAAAAGTAATTATAATTACTCTTTTAATGATGATCTTGTTGGCCACTTTTCTTTTGTATAATGATTTTCCCAGTCTCTACTATTCCACTGACATAGCATTCTCTGTGACAGCAGGTACTTGTAGGTGTTTTCACCTTATTATATAATTGAAATATCAAAGGTTGATTTTTATAGTAGCATATTAGTATTCCAGAGCGTTTAGTACTGTATTTTTTGACGGCTGAAAAGTATTTCTCAACTCGGGGAAACATATGATCTAGGTTTAATCACAAGTTTTTGCCAGTGGTCTTAGAATATATCAATAAAAGCAAATTTCGAGGTTTTTGATCCATTTTTTTGCTCTACATTGAAAATTTGCCTTGGATAGTCCTATTTTTATGTCAGATTCGTATTCAGTGACTCAAAATACACAAGCTGCGTTTCCACCCCAGTACTTTTTTGTAGGCCTGTATTATTGAAAGGATCATATAGACAATATTATACATATATACAATATTATATACATATTATATTTATTACGGCACAGTACATGTATGACAAAATTCATGTATGATGCACTAACATACTAATGATATACATATGTATATTCAAATATATGCACATATCTAAATAAAAATACCTTAAATATGTATATTTTAAATTATACATTAGATGTATAATTTTATATATATTTTAAATTGTACATTAGAACTGTAAAGAATAATGTCAAATTTGACTATTGTTTTAGTATAAAATAAAGACATATTGAGTAGGAGCAGTGGCGAATTTAAATTGACTTTTTTTTGTATTAAATTAGTTTAAATTTGACACTATAGATTTAACAGCATGTGTAACAAATCAGCGAGATCTGTACAATCGGATGAAGATTTTTGTTTTTGATCACACTCACAATCAGAGTAATCAGCAACATTTATGGCGATAAGTAATTTTATTGATTGGTTGCACGAATCCTCTGAAGATTTCGAAGATTCACTCTTTTCTCGTTCTCTTTTACGATGTCTGAGACAGCCTCAGACTATATTGATATCCTGTTGTCATTCGATCATTTTAAAGAGTGCGCAGGAGAATATCATTCCAAAGAACTGCAATATTTCAAGAATTAAAGTATAATGTTACTGATTATATTAAATAATGAGAGAAGATAGGGAAGAAAATATTTGCTTGAATACAATGTGCTTAAGAATGCTAATTATACGATTTTAAAAAAGAGAAAAGAAAATATTACACAATTTTTTAAATTAATTTGATTGTAAAAGAAATACATGTTTAGGCTTAATCGATTTTATAGCGTTGAGGGTTTAATTTTAATTAGTGAAAGTATCACAAAAAATGTTTAAACTGCTTTCTTACCATAAGACATGCGACTGCAATGCCAGCAGCACCTAAAACGGTCGCGTGATGTTGCATGTAGACTTGTGTTGCGTTGATGCAACCCTCCATGTAAGCATTGGAAGGATTTACTGTGTCCGAGCCATGGTTGCACTCGAATCGCTACGAGCAGATCAAACGACCATGAGAAACACGGTTCTTCTCTCGCGAGAAAGCCGATCGGAGGAGTGAAAGTGTGAGAGGTGTAGATCGGGACAGTGAGGACTCGGTCGATTAAGTAATAGCGACCAATTTGACGGTACTCGAGCGAGCGAAATCGATGAGTTGCGTGAAGAATCACTTAGACGCGAATAATTAATCATCTTTAATGTGTTTTTTGAAAAGTCGTCACTGGATACTAAGAAAAATTTCATTTTTTGGAAAAGCTAGAATCTCAACTTTAATTGACTTCGATTAAAGTGAATATTATTAATCCTCAAACGGTACACTGGTGCGAATTGGGATTTTGTGATTTTATTCACTTATTTAACCATGATAATATTCTTCAAAATACTTTCAAAATATACTTTCTTGAGGTAAAATTTCTCAATAAAGCGATTGGTGCAACTCAAATTTAGTTAAATTATTCTTAAGTTATAAAAAAATTGTTATTAAAAAAAGGTAAATGCCAATGTTTTGAAAATTTTGCTAGTGCGAAATCGCACTAGTGTAGTGTGCCATTTAAGGGTTAAACAGTGAAAACATGTTTTACGCTTTATAAACATGATACGTGTTATATTGTGAGATATGTATATACAAATTACTATTATTAAATGCGAATATAATTGACTGACGAACTCTATTTTATGGAGTGACGCAATTGCATTAAAATATAATGTAATATAATTACATTATAGACTATAATATCTATTCAATGTGTATAAGGAAAAATAGGCTATTTTCAAGCTAAGCTAGTTGTTAGTTGCAATATTATAATTTTATACTACGAAGTTGAATAATAATAATTTTTTATATTGAAATATAATTGATTTTTACCCGGCCAGGTGAAATTTCTCGACAGCAGCTATCTGGCACGTTGAGGCCGTAGTTTCCCCAGTCCCTCCAGCTGTTAACGCCGCAACAGTGGAGCTAAAGTCGGGAATTGAATTAGCTTCAGAAAGTCCAAACAATCATTCGATACGAGGAAAATAAAACACGCGCGCTCGGGATTGTGCTTCGAGTTTCATCGTCTGATAAAATTAACTTTTATTTACGTAATACGTGCGCGGTGATATTTACCGTCGTTTGCGTGGTATCCCAGGCGTCACGAATGGATTTACGATGATCGTAAAGCCGAAGTGAACTCTTCATCTCTCTGTCGACCGTACTCAGCAATTTTTCGCGGAAAATGTATCCGAGGACGCCGCCGATGAGCATAGTTACAAATAGCACGAATACGATTATGAAGTACTGAAAAAGAAAAAATAGATTTTATTAATCGTCCAAGTCAACAGCCTTTATCTTAACGAGTTTCAACGACTTGATGAGCTTCAAAAGTATAATAAGATCTCAGCGTTTAATCAATTCAAGATAGAGATTAGATTCGTTCAATCGCACCAAATGATGTGAAAGCTGGAAATCGAGACGCTTATCAGTTGAAAATAGATTTGGTACTTACTGTCAGGAGCATACATTTGACTTCTCGCGATGCACCGACGCATCCGAAGAAGGCGATAAATGCCACGATGATTCCGCCGACCAATAAAACGTAAACTGCACCGGTTAATAAATCGTTTCCCACGAGTTCGCCTATCCATGGTACTTTGTCAACCAAAGCCCAAATGCCCAAACCCGTTACGATAAGTCCACCAATCTGCAGCATAAATCAATAGTAAATTTAATTGCCCTTATCAATGCATAGGGGACAAAATATTATATAAACATACGAAATACATTATCTATTTTACTATTTATTTTATTAATAAAAAGTTGGCCCGTCTCTCTCTCTTTCTCTCTCATTTGTTTTAACATTCTATCTTAGAATGATCACTCAATGCTTGAGTTACCAATGAAATGTTGTATTATTCTTTTAGTGGAATATCTTTTAATTATTATACAAATAATATTGGAAGAGAAAATTTACTTCTCACTATTTTTCAAAATTTTTTTCTATTATCTGAATTCGACATTTTTCCTGGCCAATGCAATCGTCTGATTTAAATATTATTTGTAGTTTTGAAGAGTAGAGTGAGAAACAAATTTTCTCTTTCAATATTTTTTACGTCATTAGATGTTCTACTAGAAGAATATGATATAATATTACACTGCGTGCAATTGCTACATTATTCAAGCACATACGACTCTATTTCAACAAGGATAGAATCTGTATTAAAGACAAATGATAGGCTAATGTTTTTATTAATAAAACAAGTATAAATAGTAGGTATATCTTCTAAATGTTCACATTATTTTGTTTATCTCTTGTTTGTCTCTCATCTTCAACAAAGTCGTTTGAGATTAGAACTTACGAAGATGATGAAGTTCGTGAAGAACAGGGAATATTTCATAAAACGTCCGCAGCCATCCATTTCCGTGCCGTATCCCATTCCCTCTTATCTGCGAAACTCTGTTAACAGATAAATAAAAATTGTTGATAAAAATAATATTAAAATGTAAGAATATTAAAAAAAACAGAAGCGCTGTAGCTTGCAAATATTTTCAGTTTTTCGTTAACAGTTAATAACATAATTGTAGAATATATTTCGTATAACGAAATAAGAATTTGAATCACGTTTCACTAAAATAAATGGCTCTTTTTTTCCATTAATTGTAAAGCAGAATTTTATAGTTTTACGTCTTATTTTAATTTATCTTTCTATCTTTGCCTTCATCTGTTATATTATTTTGTCCCTTTTTCTTACGTTCTAAATGTAATGACCTTGACAGGCCTGACGATCACGAGTTTCAACGAATGTAATTAGACAATTTTTTTTACAACGGTCACGTACGTCGCTCTTAATTATGTAATATGTCTCTGTGTGACATCAGACTTATGTTTGGCCCAGTTTGAAATACCTTAGCTATCCACCATAGTCTTGACCATATCTATAAGCGCAATAATCTCATCATGGTTATTGAAGACTCGCAAGATAAAATTCATGTAACGCGATAAAAGCGGATTTCTTAATTGCACAATTCGTGTATGAAGCAAACTTATTTTATTTAATTAATTAAACAGACACAAATAAGCAAAGAAGTATCCATATTCAGTCAAAGCAGGCTATAATAATCTAATAATATTTTTATGTAAATTTGTACAATTTCCAAAATTTTAGCAAATTATAAATTTTTAAATTTTACACAAAAATACATATTGATTCAACATATAGATTAGGCATTAAATCCTGCTTTGACCGAATATGATCTTCTACAACACTTATTTGTATTGAATATTTCTCGGTAAATTTTCATTCTTTATTATTTAATGAACAAATTAATTTATTGATAAATTTTAGAAAAGTATATTACTCATATTACAATTTAGTACACAAATTATTCATTTTACTGTTTATTTAATTACATTTCTCACAAATTAGGCTAAAATTTCATTTCATTAAATAATATTAAGTAGTCTTTTTCTAATTTCTCGCGCAATAATTTATACGCAGTAGAGTCCGCGGGCGTCGTAATAACTACTAATGAGAATAATGAGTCGAGAGGCAGAATAGGTGTTCGTGATCAATGTAAATTTTTACGGCTCGGAAAGCAGAGTCGGCGACTTCCTGTTTTGAAAATACTGCGCACTACATGGCTCAATTGCATGCTATTGTTTGTCGAATGCGTAACAGCATTCCGCGGCGATCTTTTATCCCCGTAAATCGTCGAATCGAGAGGAAACGTACATGTTTTCACATAACGAAATCCTGTTTCTGGAGAACACGTTCACCTGTTCGGACGTGCACGTTGCACTTTACGCGGGGTCTACGATCAATGACGCAATGCGGCCGCAAAGAATGGCTTTGCGCGCGCGTTGATTGCTATCACTTCGTGTAATATCGCATACCGCGCCCACATAAGGTTGCGTGTTTTGTAACGCGTTATACGGACCTCGGTCACGCATCGGTATACCGCCTCGAAAACACGAGTTACCGAGAGACCGAGAGAGAAAGTGGCTTCTCTGCCTGAGCATTAAGTAATCCACGGTCAAAGCAAAGCGTTAAAAAATGATGCGACGATCATGATCGCACTTGCAATCTTCATATCTCGCAATCGACGCGGTCGAGCTTCCTCCATCTTATCTTGTGAAAGACTTAGGTCACTTTTCTTAATGTTAATCGCGCGCGTTTGATTACTCTTCACTTCCACGAAGAAATGAAGAGGATAGATTAGATATATGATTCAGCAAAGCTAGCCAGCTGCGTAAGTTCAACATTTACAGTATAACTAAAACGTGATGGTTCAACGAAGAAATTAGATTTTTAAGCAATTATTAGTGTACTAATTTAACTAATTCTTTGCTACAATGGCAATTGTTAATGTTTTCTTCATTACAGCATCAAAATACACGCCATCACGTTAACAGGTTTTCTTAAAAATTTTGATCTACACATTGGATTTATTTTAATTTTCATAGAAAGTTATCTTTGTTGTATTAACAAATTTGCTATACTATTATAATAAATATATAATTACTTATAATCGCTAATTTTCTTCAGCTATACAATTTTACTACTTTAACAAAGAAAACCGACTATCCGCGTACATCACGGCTACAAATTTGCTGAATCAATGGAGTTTTTCATTGTTTTAACAAATCTTTTTTTTTTTCGTGAATCTCCCTATTCATTCGGCTTTCCTTTGTGTAAATTGAATTTTTGACCATCAATCTCACGGCGCGGTATTGCGTCACTTCTAAAACAATCATCATAGAAAAGACGAGAAAGTTTGTGAAAAAAATGGCGTTAATCAGTCTCTAAATCAAAAAAGTTTTCCAGCCACTTCGATATCGAGTGATCTATCAAAGATACGAGAAGCGATAAAAGGTGACTCAGTACCTTTGGAATATTGTGCGCGCAAAGGCTACGTGCCTATGAAATGAGTTTGCATCTGGCGCCACGGAATTATAAGAACTCTGCTGAATTAGTCTTAGGAAAACTGCACGCCTACGATGACGCTCATTAATAAATCATTCGATCTCGGCAAAGTAGTACGTACGCGAGCTCTTCAATTAAAATCTTCTTACATCATCAGTTAAAATCGCGTCGTAGTTATTCAACAGAATGCTAACACATGTTGCTTGCTCTATTACGCTACATATCGAGCAATATCATCTTTTTCTCAAAGCGGCAGACATTTGTTTATTTATTAATCGAAATTGTCGGTGGGATTTATTGAAAGTACTAATTATAAAGGAGAAATAGAGTAATTTGCAAAAATATTAAATAGAAAACGATCAATAATTTGCAAATATGGTTGTGTTAGAATAACATATTAACTTTTTATTTCTTTTAAGAAAATATACAAAAATAAAAACGTTTCAACTAACACAATCTTCTTCAGTTAAAAAATTTCTAATAAGAAAAAAGCTTAAAATAGCTTATAATTCCGTTAACAATTATCATACCGCAATTAAAAAGAAAACAGATTCTTAAAATTGAAACTTTGCTCTATCGAATGATATAATTACAATGAAAATTTTGCAACAAATATTGAGGAAGGGTCTTTTTACGTATATGTGTAAAAGGACCTTTTCCCCAATCCAATATTATTATAACATTTAAAAAACATTATTTTTAACAATTAAATAAACCGTTTTTACAGACGTTTTTTTTAGTGAAAAAATAATGAATAGACCCATTATTTTTTACGTTTTTAGAAAGCCTTTTAAATGATTTTAGAAAAGTTTTTTGGAAACGTTTTAAACATTAAAAGAATGTTCTTCAATCAAATGTTATAAAAACGTTTGTAAACATTTTTTTCAAATCTTTAGAAAATATTGCAAGAAAAGATTACAAAGAAATAAACGTCAAATTATAAAAATTCTTTTACTAATAACAAATTCATTACTTGATGGCATTTAATTACATTTAATTATATTCTTTATGTTACATCTGCATTTTAATTATTGATATAATCTTAATAATCATTCTTTTTTATGCGAATTATATTATTTTCTTCTGATTCTTGAATTACTTAGTATTTTGTACAATAATTCACATGAATTAAATGGGTCAGCTTTGGAGAATAAGGATGCCTTTTCACAGTGACGCTCATTTTCAGCGTTAAAGAGTACATAATGCTACAAATGCGAACGCTTTGAAGTATTCTGATATTGTTAATTGATAGTTAACATTTTTTCTTCTAATTGATCAATCAAACAATTTAAAGCATTCGCAGTGAGACTTTGACCGCACTTAAAATAGAATATATGACAAAATTGCTAAACAATGAAAATGCATAAAAAGACTGCAACCTAAGGTATGTGTAGCTTTCACAAAAAATCTTAAACCGAATTGAATAAATTCGAATTAAGTAACTCCCAGTGTCAGATCCTATAACGTCAAAATTGAAACTAGGTAGTAAGCTGTCATTATTTTGACGTCAATAGTTAGTCATATTGAATTATTGACGTCATGCTAGTTATTTAAGATGTAACAATTGCGTCATTTATTATATATATGTATCTATCTTACGACGTATTACAATGCCACACTTGTTAATGAATGGATGACCAATCGAATTAAGACGTATTAGTAAAAGTTATTAGTGATGAATTAATAATGTCATTCATTTATACGAGTAATAACACGAAAATAACAAAGTATTTTTTGATGTCGGTTTAGGATATTATGTGGTTGTGACAAATCCACGTTACTTCGCACTGTTTTGACGTCACCTTAAACGTTGGATTCATCAGATTAGTCATACGAAGACTAATTAATGACGTCAAATAGATGACGTCTTCCGAAGAAGCACATAAAAGTCAATAAAAAATTAAAAAGGCTTTATTTTTTTATTAATTAATATCAATAAATTAACCAAATTTTGTAACTAAAAATTATCATTTTAACTTTTATGATTTTAAAATGAGATTATTTTGACTTTTTCTTGACTTGGTGTGTTCCATATGTTATTATCATATCTAGGTACATAAACAGCACTGACACTATTTTTCAACGTCTCAGAAATGGCATTTTTGAACGCACGACATTTCATTGTAATCGCAGACGATTCCACGGCCGTTGATTCCGTGTTGAAGAAACGAAAAGACGTACTTATGTAAGTCTATTCTCTTAAATTATTTTCAGAATCCCGTCGATGTTTGATGATTATAATCACGTCTTTCCCGCGCGCGAAAAGGCGCAGCATCCGCACGTTACAATCGCGCGTTTATCCGCGTGATGCGAGCAAGCAGAACGTTTCTTTTTCTTCGTGCTAAAAATAAACGCGCACACCTGTGAACAATCTTGTTCATCGATGGTTCGAGAAGAAACGACGTGAACGGGAGAAGAAATTCCGAGGTGGAAGTCGGAGCCTGAGGTGCGGCCCTTCAATGAATCGAAAGTTAAATCTCAGCCCGAGGTCATAGCAGCTTTATTCCTTCAGATAATATTTCCAGTACTTTCAGGTAGCACGATCCCTATTTAGTTACTAATCCATTTTGTGATCATCGTTGATCCGTGTTTCCTCTCCACAAGCTAACATGTCACGTACAATTGGAGCGCATTTCAAGGTGTATCGTTGTTTTTGCGATTTACAATAAGCGTCCTGTCATCACATAAATTCACGGTAGTTTTCATAAGCACCGACATAATATGTCGAGGGGAGGAGGGGGGGAATCGATAATACCGGTCTGCGACCGCATAACGATCTCCGTGTGGAGTCTAGCGTGATATTTTGAAATCACGTGGAAACTCGTCAAGTGATTTCAATGCGCGAAGTGATTTATGCGGAACGAAACATCGCGCGCTTTCCCGCGAGATTCTTCGTCTCGTTGATTAGACACATTTCAAGATGTTTAATACTTAATCAAATCGTATTTGAAATATCCAACTGACAAAGAAGCCTTTCTAAAAAAGGTGAAGCATTATACAAATACCAAATAACTCTTGTGAAAAAAGATAATAATTTTATAATTAATGCGGAAAGCATTTTTTTGGAATATTTAGGGATAATAATGTAATATTTAGGGATAATAATGTAATAGAAATAAGGATTTATTAACATACTTCGGAATCTATAATGTAAAAAGTCCAAAAGTTTCTAGAACTGCAGACATACTCGTATAAAAAGTGACAAAATGAAACACACACACACACACACAATTATATATTTTTATTATTCAATAAATTACCCTTTATTTATCACTTTCTTTAAAAGAATTACTTAAGTTTTTCTATATTATTAAAAAAATATTCTAAATTTTTATTCTTACAATAGTTTTAACTGAAGAACTTATTTCATCATACTGATAAATTTTTTGTACGAAAATAATTCATAAGATTGAATTTGTGTCGAAAGATAATTTATTTAATGATAAAGAAATAAGCTCCTCAGTGTTAAATCAATTTTAAGAACAAAAATTCAGAATATTTTTTTAGCACAGAAAAATTAATTCATCATTTAAAAAACGTATTGAAATAAAGGATGTGTGATTATAACAGAATATTTCTAAAAAATAAAACGTGATTCTTTTATCTCATCATCTTTTTTTATGAGTCAGAAATTTGTTAATTTTATTACGCGCTGCTATATAATTGAAAATTTATATTTCGATAAAAAAACATCAAGTAGAAGGTTCTTCTTCATTATTATAATTATTTGTCTTTTAAACAAACTCCAAACAAATTAACGGAAGTTTAAAAGTGTTTTTCTTAAAATTTAATTATACAATGATAAAACGTGTCAAGAAGGAACAAGATAATTCAATTATCTTGAATTGAACTGCAAATTTCATAAGTCAACAATAATCGAAACTAGCTTCTTATTTTCGCTTTGATACAAAATAATACGAAGACTACTTGAGGACATTAACGCGTTGAAACTTGGCAGTAAACTCGCAATTACTGGCGCAGTCAGCAACTTTCTCATTTATTAGTCATCGAGTTAGGTGTAAATTAAATTAACACATTAATTAAGAAAGTTTCCATTGTTCTCGTCTTTGGCCACTTTACAGATTGATATTATTTGACAAACGTGGGCGTAAGTTGATTCACATACATTTCCTCAATGAACTAAATGACATCTAATTACACTTCCTTTCTAATTCACGTTTTTAGCATAATGTTATGTGTATAACGGTTAAAACCGTCTTAAAATCGAGTTAAGTAAGCTTAACTTAAGTTATTTGAAAAAAGTTACAAGTTCTGCGTATGTTTATCGGCAACTTTATTTATACCGATATTAATACCAATTTTAAAGATTAAGTATTTACCGAAGAAGAGTTCTTGGAAAAAGAAAAAAGTTTCCTATTGAGAGGTAAAAAATTGTCAAGCAAAAAGTGGAACTGATATGATTCATATCATATTTAATAACCGCGCGTCGAATGGCAGTTTGTCGATGAATCACTGCGACGCAACTTCGGCGTCTTTGCTCCGAACTTCCTTGTCTCTCTATGCGCAGCAGAGCGTTCTCGTGAGAACCACGCGGATACCCTCTAATGCCGATTGATTGCTTAAACATCTTTACTCACGCTGGTCCCTTTCTCTTCAGCCGGCGGCAGTGTCGCGGGAAATGAAAAAACAAACGATTCCTTTCTCCCGCTTGGGGAAAGTTTTCTCCGCCTCGTAGGAAAACACTGAAACGCGATGAGTTGCTTGTGTTTCGGGAAAAATATATATAGAGCTCGCGATGTCGAATCTGATGTCTCGTTACCGATGAGGGAATTCGGCAACGAGGCACCGAGTTAGACGCGCACGTTTTCTGACCGAGTCGGAGTGAAACTGAAACCAACTGAAACGTCTGAAACGTTAAGACTGAGTGAACTTCTGCCTCGCTCGTACTCTCTCTTTCGATCTCCGTCCTTCTGTTTCCCTCCTATTTCCCTCCTGTTTCTCCCTTCCCCTACCTGTTTTCGCAGTAGAACCTCGATAGGCTCGATATATCGTATTTCTCTCTCTGTTCCTCTCTCTTCTCTTCTCTCTTTTTTCATGGAGTCATCGCTTACTATACCGCACATTGCACGTTGCGTGTTGTACGCGTTCCTATCATCGTGATCTAACTATAGTACATTTTGTATACGAGCCGGTGTGTACGAGAAAAACACGATGGGGGCCAATGAAAGTGGAGAACCATTGGCACATATACGCTGGTAACGTACACAGTTTGATGTATGTATGCACGACGATCCATACATACGCATATACTATGGAATACGGAGAACCGCTTCTCGGGATCCCCTGCTCTACAAGACCCTACTTTCGGTTGGGAATGGAATGTAATATCCAAACCGTTGCCTACAGAGAAGGCTCGATCTATTGATTTAATGTTACCTCGGTAATTAATACAAAACATTCACGATTTTTGTTGTTCAAATGAATGCGGTGCAACACTTTCGTTATGCGGAATTTCAATCGTCACGCCGAGGTTCCTTTTACTTGATATTATAATTAACATGTCAAACAATTAAATATAGAAAATAAATCTTTTTTTTTTAATGTTTCTATACATATTCTCTAAATTCTTCAGAGTACCTCAATTTAAAGAAAAGAAATTGAGCTAGTCTTAAAAAAGAGTGACTTAGTGATTCTTACACATACTTTAACATTTTTAGAATTTAATATTGATGATTTTACTATTTAAAAAATTGTATATAAATGTTATAATTAATTACTTAACGCAGCTATTTTTTCAAAGAAAAGAAATGTGCAAGACACTCAATCGTATATGTATTAAGGATTAATTATTATTCTAATTATTATTTTCTCTCTCTATAATATCACAAAATAATTCTAATAAATTAATTACCTAAATGGATTACTTTAAAGGAACTGTTCTTAATCTTAGCTTGCTAGATAAATGCCTTATTTATCATCTTCTTTATCATCTCATTAAACGAGACAGATAGAAAAAGAATAGATGCTAGAGCAACCAATCACTAGGCAGAACTCTGTTCTTTGTTTTCTCTATGTCTCGCTCAACAACACAATGAAGAAGGGGAAACGTTTAGCTCGTAAGCTAATAGCGTTTTCTCTTGGCTGCACCAGTGTAGGGTGATTGCACTAGTTCATCTTTTTCCCTTTTCCCTTCTCCTGGAGAGAAAAGGAAGAAAGATGAACTAGTGCAAAAGTTCAGCTGAGAGTTGCACTGGTGCAGCCAAGAGAAAACGCTATAAGTTTGGACCGGCTTGGTGTGTGTGCGTTCAAATTAAACGAAAGAGAGAAAAAGAATCAAATGTAAATTATTCTTTTTGAATTTATATAATTTGTTGTTTTTTTAAATCAATTATTAAATATATATATAAATATATATACTTTTTATGACGTCTTATAAGTTAGCGGAACAAAGTAAACAGAATCGATTTTAACTAACATTTTTATTTGTTGCTTATTTGTTGCTAACAAGTTACCAAAGAAAAAAATGTGTTGCTCTATTAGTTTTTTTTTTTTTTAATATTGTTTCGCTAACTTAATCTTCCTTTAACGGAATATTATTTACAAAAAAGCTATATAGAGCAATAAATTTTTTTCTTTAGCTACTTGTTAACAATAAATGAGCATCAAATAAAAATGTTAGTTAAAATCAATTCTGCTCACTTTGTTCCGGTAACTTAAAAGATGTCTTTTTTTATGTATCCACATTTTTATATTTTTATAGATGTTTACAATATCGTAGAATTTTGTATGAATTATCGAAAATATGTAGCATTAAACCACAAAATGGTATGTAACTCAATGTAGGTCGTAATTTACATATATCACAAATCATGCATATCCGTCATCTTCAAAATTAGTACGCATTTAAGAGCAGTAACTTCAAAGTTTGTTTAGCGACTGCTCCACCCAAGTAATAATCGTTGATTCTAATTGAAGCAATTATTATTCAATGTTTCCAAAGGTTTTAGTCAATCCACCGTAATATCCTAATTTCCACATTATTTTTTCAAACTCGTAACATAAATAACCAAATTATTTTTAGACATATTTGACTTGAAAAAAAAGAATTAATTATATCCATAGAAAATATCTTAAATTATCTTAAAAATATTTTTAATATGTCAAAACATAAAAAGCTAATAATAATAATTTTAAAACATAATTTTATATATACATATATATATATATATATATATATAGAAAGAGAGAGAGAGAGAGAGAGAGAGAAAATCATATATATTTAATATTTTAATTTATTAAAACACACACACGCACATAAATATAAATCTTATAATATAAACTTTAAAGATTTATAATTAAAGTATATATAGGAAGTCCGGGCAAAACGGATGTGTTAAGGTTTGGAAAGAAAAATGACACAATTAAAATTAAGATCAGAAATCTTTTTTATTCTTATAACTCTATTAATGAAATCAACTTTGAGAAATAAAATAGAATTAAATTAAAAAATTTGTACATTTAAATTTTTTTAGCCAAAACGTATAAGAAAAGAGGAACCGAGAAGAAAAGAGAATCTTTGTCCTCTTCCCAAAGCGGATGGATTACTCGAATAATGAGAATGAAATTTTAAAAATCAAAATTAATTGGCAATCGTGACAAAAGTATAACTGCTAAATCCTCTAAACATATATAATTATTATTTGAAGGTCGTTATGTAATTAAAAAAGAAATTGCTGTGCACAAACAAATCATCATACTGCATTGTGGAAAAAGAACAAAAGAGATATAAACAAATTTGTACCTTTTGTTCACTTGAAAAATTATCTCTCCGACTTCCCGGTATTTTCAGTGCAATTACATATACTAGGTAAAGTGGACCATCTGCTTTATTCCACACATCCACTTTGCCTAAAGAACCTACTTGGTGCAAATTTGGAAATATTAGAATAAGTTTAAGCAATAAGTGAAAAATTTTAATGTCAAAGACACTTAAAGATAGAGAATTCCTATAAAAAAAATGTACACTGGTAGATAAATAATTACTGCTAACAATTAAGCTAAGTACCTCCCTTAACAAAAATCGCAAGAAAACACAATTTGCTGTATTTCTTTATCAAACATAACGAGCGCAATTATATGTTGTTTCGCACTTTAATGGCGTCATCGGCCGGTCATTCCTTCAACAGTTAGAGAGACTCATAGCATCATATCAGATAAATAAACATACGTTCGCTTTGCCCGGACTTCCCCCATATATATATTTTTTTTCTTATGAATAAATTACATAACAAATAACGGTATGACGAAGCAAACGCATCACGTTGAGCACGAAAAGACTTAGGAGCTAATTACACTAAAGTTACTTTGATTTTAAGCGAGGTTTAAAAATTCTCTCTGTCGTTCTTTTGGCTTGAAAACGAGACAGAAAGAGTTTTAAGTCTCGTTTAAAAGTCAAAGTAACATTGATATAACCGGGTCTGAAAGCATATAAAAGACTTATCTTTAAAATAATGAAAAAGAAAAGGGCTATGAGCCAAAAGTGTCTCGTTATATGACTTTGTACTTATCTTTAAATTTACGTAACATAAATAAACAGTTGTACTAAAATTTGTAGACATTTACTAAATATACTACATAAGTACATGGATAAAAAATATAGTAGAAGAATATATCTAGCAATTTTTTTTAATTCTCAAAAATAGATTACATTTTCACGATCTATTTGACTAGGATATTCCCTTGAGTTTATTATATCACTCATTATGATCATTCTTTATTTATACGCTGCTTATGTTTTTTTTATCAGATATTGTAAGTCTACTGTTTAAAATCTATACTGTAAGAAAAAATTGGCTACTGCAACAATAATTTAAATGGTAAAATATGGCATAGCATTTTCAATTGATTGCAGCAGCTAATTTTGGTTGCGTTAGTCTATCGAAAAATGCTATGCCATATTCAGCCAATTTTTTCTTTCAGTGTACAAAATTGGAACTTACACTTCACCGCACCGGTTGCATTTATACGAATTAGAAACTTGATAATCCCTATCCTAATGAAAAATTTATACCTGCATACGTCTTAAATCCAGGAAAAAAAGTTATGATTTATGCGTTACATTTGTAAAAGATAGAAAGTTAAGGCAAAGCATATAGTAAGAAGTGTAAATTAATCCTTAAATATTAGAAACTTACCACTTTCACCGCAACAAATATTATTCATATATTGTATTCTTATATTTTTTTTTATTAAAATCACAAACAAATAAAATATAAGAAATATTTTATACATATAGTTATTATTACTTATTATTAATTTATTGTTAATTTTATTCTTCACTTATACCTATTAGACCGCGAGGAAAAAATGAAGTTCGGTGGGAGTTTAAAAATTATGCGGTCAACTTTGCACATCACTCACCTACACCTGTTGCTCTCGATTGCACCTTCCGTACGCATTTTACACTATACGTTTCACAGCTGTACTCGTATTATAATGTAAATGAATAAACGTTATATATAAATTTAAATCAATGATAATTTTCTATGAAATGTAATACAATATTGTTATTCTATATTATTGATTGTTCTGCACAATAAGTGATTTCTATACGTGAATTTTATGAAATAACCGATCAATATGTGGACACTAATGATTTTATTAAATATTAAATTATATTTACTAATTAAACACTTTATGATACCGTTTGATTTAATTAATCTCCAATCCACGACGTGAGATTCGAAAAGTTCCAAGTGATGTCAACTTCATCTTGATATAACGTGAATCAAATTAGCATTCAATATAATTGATATAATTAATACAATTGATAGTCAATAAAATCGATTATTTTATCATTAGAATGGACTATGCAATAAATTTTAGGACGACAAATCTCGTGAAACATACTCTATTTCTGATTTAATTTTTATATAATTATTACTGTTATATTGTTCTCA